TTTTTATTCTGAGATCATCCACTAAGGAAGATCTCTGATTTTTTTTTGACAATAGTAGTACTAACCAGATATCCATGGCTAGTAATTAAAATAAAATTTCTAGTATCTTTTTTTTTCACATTTCATGAATGATAAAACCAAGAAGATGATTGCTTAAAAAATAAAAATTTTAAAGATTTCCACACATAAAAATTTTTATGTAAATTGAAATACTGTTTTTAAAACAAATTTTTAAGACAATCCTGTTTGTGCTGTGTTGGAATCTTTGTCAAACTTTTTTTCAGCAGAGATGCATCAGTGATTAATCTTTATGAAAATGTAAAAATTTGTGACTTAAACATTTTTTTTCAAGTAAAATTTAGTCATGAAAATATTGGCAGTTATTACAAAAAGAATAACATTTTCTCAGATGTTTTTAAATAAAAAAAAACTATTCATTATAAAAGTAAATAATTAATGAATATATACTGAAATTTTTATTTAAATTGGATAATTCCCTGATTTTTTGTAATTTAAAAAAGTGTTGCATTCCCAATTTTCCTTTGAGGGTTTTGTGACTCCAGGTTGGAAAACTTTGAAATCTACATGCAACAGAGAGGGTGACCCGTATTAAAATTTTGGAGGTGGGGGCTTGAGACCCTAGCACCAATCTTGTCTGACAATTTTAAAAAAGCATGTAAGAAACTCTGAGAACTCATCTTAGAAAGTTTTGTTAATTTTTGGAAAATGATGCTAATTAAAGAGAGTTAATTTAGTAATTTATCATTTCAAATCAAATATTGATCTGGGAAAATATTTGCTTAAGGAAAAATTTTAAATTATAAAAGATTCTGAACTACTTAAATGGGATACTTGTACAATAAATTCAGTTAGTGCAAGGTTTATTTGTATGTTTTTTTTTTCAAATAATCAGCTTGATGTCTTATGAATGAAGTTTGATATTTTTCTTTTATTTGATGGTGGGAGGGATATAAAAATTAAAAGTTCACTAATTCAAAAAAAGCAATGGATTCAATATAGTCTTTCAACTTCATGTCAGCTGAGAACATTAGCCCAAGAAGGAGGTCAGCATCAGATAGAGGGCAGAGAAGGGTCTCTCAAAAATATTAATGGAGAGCAGTTTAGTTTAGGAGACATTAAAGTTAACAAGCTATCCTTTGTCCCAGTTAGCAATAGACTGAAGGTCATTTTGGATATCAGTTGTCATTTTTACCTTATCAACCTATCAGACTTTCTATCAAGACAGGAGTAAATGGTTGTGTGTTCTGCATAGATACCAAGCTGAGATTTGAAGGCACAAAATTAGGGATAAATAATTTATTTACAATTAAATTTAAATTAAGAATTAAAGAAGAGTATAATTGTAAACGTATAAACACCCTAGCCATCCGTCCAATTCTTCCAACACTACAGCTGGTCACTGAAGTGACTGCTTCAGTCCAGAGCTAACTTTATCCCATGTTGTGATTTAAGTTTGATCATAAAGTGGCCATGATTGAATAGTCACAGGTATCTTTGTGTTGGGCTGGCCCAAGCAGGGTGATAACGTAGAGGAAAAAAAATAACATTCAAATAAATTGAACAGAACTAAATACTGTTTTTATATCAGTCTTCCATACAATAATTGGTTTATCAGAGTTTGCATGCAATTAATTATCAGCCTAACTCACATCTAAATCGGAAGTGATATTATTGTTGACCTGGTAAAATGTAGTTTGCTGCTTTGGTAAAGTTTGGCACAAGGCTGAAGTTGGAGGCTTTTGTTGGCAGATAATCACGTGGGCCTCTCTCCTGTCTCTGGTCGCATCTCTGTCTCTTCTGCCTCTCTTCTATCATCTGCCTAATTCACTTCACACATTCATATTTATCGATATTCACCCAAACTGGCATGGGGGGTATGGTGAGGTAGGAGCCTTTCGGTGAAACCCCTCTGGCCTATGCCATAACTTTGGGGAATTCCCTCTCTCCACCCTCTCATCATATTAATACCTATCACTAGCTTTCCACCTACTGGTATTTCAACACAACTTTTGACCAAGAGAATCAACTACAAATTCGTTGTTTACGAAAACTGAAATTTTTGCTTTACAGCTTGTATTTGCAGCTGTGTGTCAATCAGCATTGCCCCCCCCTAAGTCTGGGTCATTTTTCCTTTGTTGAAACTGCTCAATATACAATTGAAGTCATTTATCTGTGAATTAAATCCTCAATTCTTCCCATGAGTTTTTGGTATTAACCCTTATTCTTTCAATGTCTCTCAACACATAACGCTTTCTGTTGATAAGAAGTCTTTCTTAGGTTTTATTTTATTGTGGTAACAACAAATAGTACCACATAATGACTTTTGAGAGTCTAATGAAAATTAAGCTGAGTAAAGAGATGATGTTCGTATGAAATTAGGACTTACAACTGATACAATTAAAAATGTCCTTAAAGGGATTCAATCAAAGTTCTTTGCAAGTTGTCAAATTTAGACTTTCCAGTAGCAGTGAAAAATGTGGTGGGCAAGAAAGTGCAAAGAGTTGTTTTTGCAACAACAATGTGATGAAAGCTGGATCTGTGTCTTTCAGGACAAATTGGTAGATTTTAGTTGTTCTCAGCTGCAAACGTTTATTTTTGTAAGATTGTCGTCTCATTGGTTTTGTTTTGTTTGGCTGTTTCTGTTTAACTCTACATCAACCTCTATGGCAGTAGTTCTCTGACTTTTCTATGGGCTGCATTTTCGTAATGAAAATTTGTTTGCACCTCACCCAAGCCAAGTCCTGGTGAAAAGGCACAAGCATCCTTATGGAAAAGAAGCTCCATAGAGAGGGTTAAAGGGAGATTGACATGGATTTGAAGTCAGAACATTATCATTGATAACTCTCTCCTCCAATTTGTGGACACTAGTTACTATATATTTAATATTTGATATAACACAAAAATATCGCAATAATAAAATCGTTCAATAATTATTTATAACTCTACTGGGATTCATGCATGCAATTACAAGTAATCCATAATAATATTTTAAATTTTGAAATCATATTTATTTTTGACATATGAATTTTTTGAAACTGTTTCTAAATCTTTGGTTGTCTTTCAATCATTCAGCCTCACCTGCTATCCTCTTCAGCCACACCTAAGAGGTGCATCACACCGTTTGGGAACCATTAGCCTAGATTATAAATCTTTACATGGAAACTTGCTAAGGATATCATGCACCGAGAGTGTAAGCTACGATAAGGTCTCAGAGAGGATGCAAACAAGGAGGAGGCTTATACTTGACATCAAGAAGAGGCAGCTGAAGTTCCTGGGACACATAATGAGGAAGGAGGGCCTGGAGAATCTGATACTCATGGGTCGAATAGAGGGAAAGAGAGACATGGGAAAACAACGCATGACATAGCTAGCGTCTTTAAGCAAGTGGATGACAAAACATAGTCTGAGGGAGGTGGCAGAGGGAAGGAACTTGTTGAGAGCTGCAAGGGATAGAGGAGGTGGAGAGCCATGATCGCCTACATCCTGAAAGGACACAGGACATAGAAAGAAAGTTACTATATTCTTAATAGTTTATATAATGCAAAGATATCACAATGATAAAATTGCTCAATAATTATTTGTAACTATACTGGGATTCATTTTATTGTTTTTCAATCATTCTGTCTCACCTGCTATCCTCTTCTGCTGCACCTATGATGCATGTTGCACTTCTCTATGCTGAAATCTAAATATTTTGTAGATAATATCTTTTTCTCTTTGGAGATAATGATGTTTTAGTGATACAAGTCTTACTAATTAACCCATAACTGGGGGAAAAGAGGTGGATTCATACTTTTCCCAAGGGTATTTGCACATAAGTGAATATAACGAACCCAATGGAAATTGGAATGTAGATCTCTCGTTAAAAATTCTGAGCCATTATTACCAAGCTAGTATTCCCAAGCAGTCACCTATCTATGTACTGACCAGGCTTGATGTTGTTTAACTTCAGTGATTGTACAGGAACCTGTGTTTCAACATGATATGACCAAAGCCAAAAAGAATGTTGAGATTGAAAACTTTCTAAAGTTTCAAGACACTTAAGGTTAACAGGAAGTACAAACCAAAATAAAAGCCATTTTTTTGCTTTAAATTAGAGACAGCTGACCACAGAGTTGTGAATACAGTAGATTAAAGTGAATCCAAAGAGTCTGTTATTTCACAGAAGTTAATGTCTAGGGGTCTAAGTATAATACAAATAAGATGGAAGTGGCAATTCTTTTGCATAACAACTAGAATGCTGCTTTATACCAATTTCCTGATAAACAATTTTCAGACAAAGAAATGAAAGTGGGAATTGATAAAAAATAGAGGAGGTAGATGGTTTGTTTTTGACAATAAGAATAATATATTATTTTTGTTTTTAATTTTTATCACTTTCTTGCTTATTAAAAAGCCCAGTGGCAGCTAAAAAACAGGAGAGAAACGGACAGAAAAGAAGGTGGAATAAAAGAAGAGAGAGATAAAAAGAAAAGACGTATAAAGATAAGTCTATGAGAAGGAATGGGAACAAAAAGGGAAAAGAAGAAAAAACAAAAACAAAAAAAAAACGATGACATGAAAAGGAAAAAAGAAAAAAAAGAAGAAAGTAATGGAGAAAGAAAGAGAGAGAGAAAGAAGCAAAGTTAGTGAAATATGAAGAAAGAAAGATGCCATCAAAAGGAAAACAGGCATCAAAGAAAAAGGAGAATAGAGAGAGATAGAGAAAGAGAGAGAGAGAGAGAGAGAGGAAGAAGCAATGTTAGTAGAATAAGAAAGAATGATGACACTAAAATAAGAAGAGGCAAAAAGAAAAAGAAAGTAATGAAGAAAGAAAGAGAGAGAGAGAGGCAAAGTTAGTAGAAGAAAGAAAGAAAGGAAGAAAGAAAGAAAGAAAGAAAGAAAAAAAGAAAAGATGACTCCAAAAGAAAAAATGACCAAAAATGAAAAAAGAGAAAGTAATGGAGAAAAAAAAGATGGAGAGAGAGAAAGAAGCAAAGTTAGTGGAATAAGAAGGAGGAAGAAACAAAGAAAGATACAAAAGGAAAAAGATACAAGAAAAGAAAAAGAAGAAAGCAATGAGGAGAGAAAGAGAGACAGAGATAAGAAGCAAAGACAGTGGAATAAGAAGGAAGAGAAAAAAGGATTAAAGATGACACCAAAAATGAAAGTAATGGGGAAAGAGAGTGAGAGAGGAAGAGAGAAAAAGAATCAAAGTTAGTAAAATAAGAAGGAAAAGAAGGAAGAAAGAAAGGATGAAAGATAAAGAAGACACAAAAAGTAAAAGAGAAAAGTAAAGAAAAAGAAGAAAGTAATGGAGAAAAAGTGAAAAACAGAGACAAAGAAGAAGAAAAATCAGTGGAATAAGAATAAGGAATAAGAAAGAAAGATAAAAATGACATGAAAAGAAAAAGAAACAGATAGAGAAAATGAAGACAATAGAAGAAGAGAAGGAGACAAAAAGAAGAAAAATCATTGGAATAAAGAAGAAGAAGAGTAGAAAGAAAGATGAAGATAGCAGAAAATAAAAAAAAAGTGAAAGAAGGAATTAATGATGAAAGAGAGAGAGGGGGTGAAAGAGAGAAAGAAGTAAAATTACTAGAATCAGAGAGGAGAAAGAGAGAAAGAAAGTAAAACAGGTAGATTTTTAAAAAGGTAATAGAAAAAGAGAAAGCAAGAGGGTTAGAAGTAAAATTACTGAAATAAGAAAGAAAGAAAGAAAGAAAGAAAGAAAGAAAGAAAGAAAGAAAGAAAGAAAGAAAAATAAATAAACAGGTAGAGAAAAAAGAAATAGTGAGAGAAAGGAGAGAGTGAGATGCAAAATTACTGGATTATGTAAGAAAGAAAGAAAGAAAAAAGACAGAGAAAAAAGACAGAGGAAAGAGAGAAAAGCAAAATTACTGAAATAAGAAAGAAAGAAAGAAAGAAAGAAAGAAAGAAAGAAAGAAAAGAAAGGAAAAGAGAGAGGCAGACAAAAAGTAATAGAAAGAGAGAAAGGAGTAAACGAGAAGGGAGAGAAGCAAAATTACTGGAATAAGAAAGAAAGAAAGAAAGAAAGAAAGAAAGAAAGAAAGAAAGAAAGAAAAAAAGAGAGGCAGACAAAAAGTAATAGAAAGAGAGAAAGGAGTAAACGAGAAAAGAGAGAGAGAGAGAGAGAGAATCAAAATTCCTGGAATAAAGAGGAAGAGAAGAAAAAAGAAAGAAAGAAAACAAGAATGGTAAATTTTTAAAAAGTAATAGAGAAAAAAGAAGGCTAAAGGCAGAAACAAAATTACTGAAATAAGTAGGTAGAAAAAAGAAAGAAAGAAAGAAAGAAAGAGACAGCATAGAAAAAACAAACAGAGAGGGAGAAAGCAGTGAAGCAAAATTACTGGAATAAGAAAGAAAGAAAGAATGAAAGAAAGAAAGAATGAAAGAAAGAAAGAATGAAAGAAAGAAAGAAATGAATAAAGAAGGAAAGAAAGGAAGGTAACAACAAAAAAGGAATAAGGATAATAGAAAGAATTAGAAGATAATTCTTTTTAAGAAGGACAGCAGTAGAAGAAGAAAAAAATTTAGCCAAAAATTTCTATAGACATTTTGTTAGAACTTTTAATTTATCTAAGACAATCAAAGATTAAAAAAAATACCAAAAAGCCAGAAATAATATGAGAGAAAAAAATCTTTTTCTTGGAATTGATAACAGTTAAAGATATTTAATCTTAGAAAGCGAGAATGAAAGAAATAGAACAAAAAAAAAAAAAAGAAGAAAAATGTTAACCAAGATGGTTGAGTTCTTGGTAACATTTGAATTTGGTTTATCGTTTTGCTAAAGGAATTGAAAAGCATCATGAATAAGAACAAGTAGAAATTCTATGCCTACTTTCTGTCTTTATTCCTCTGGTTGGGTCGAATGCTTCTCTTTGTATGTGTAAGGACCAATTCATGAAAGAGTAAGATTTACTTTATAAAACTGGGCATTTGGTACAAATGAAGAGTTTTTTTTTTAACTTTATACAAAAGAACAGTTGGCAGAAATGCAAAAAAAAATACAAAGGAAATTTTGGAGCGTTAGCTTCTGATGGATTAGCATATATCAGTTATTTTTTTTAAGTAATGTCTGAAATGTAATAGCAATAGATTGAATGATATTTTTGCAATTCAAAAAGATCTGAATAACAATGATACATGTTAGTATTGGTCCGTATAATTTTAAACTTGTAAGTTATATTGTTGAAGTTCAATTAACATATTCAGTGGCTTATAAGATGCATTTTTTTCCCCAGAAAAAAATCATCAAATCACTGTATAAGAGTAAGTGTCATTGCCAGGACTGTGGTTTGAAACTAGATCGCCAGTGAGTAACATTGGCAATTCCATTATTAAGTAGATCCCATGAGCATAAAGGAAGTGAATAAATAGGAAGTAGCCTGATGACTATATGATCACTGTTCACTCTTCTTGTCTATCATTTATTGCTATATGTTCACTCTCTCTACTACTATACAGATTAAGATTCAGGCACCTCGAGGGGGTGTAATGGTTAGCAAGCTTGTCTTGCTAGAACAATTACGGATGAGTAGTGAGTTCGATCCTCACTGGGTGCTCAATACTTTCGGCCATGTGTCATATCTAAGCCTCGTGTAGAAAATCAATACAGATTAAGATTCTCTTCTGATCACTATACTATTTGGCGATTACTACTTGAACAATTATTACTAGTGTGGATATTATTGAAATGTGTTACTACTATTACTGGCATCTATGAAGTCTCGAATACAATGAGAATTTTTGGAGCTTTTGCTTGACATAGCAAAAGTGACAAGCGAAGCTGCCCAACATCATAAAAGTGGCAATGAGGATTCACAAGGAATCACAAAACAAATATTGCTCTGTATCTTATACGCAAAGTTGGGGCTAATTTTATCCCCCAATACTCATTACCATCTATATCTAAAATTCTAATTCTCAAAATGTGTGTATGTATGTGTGTCTGCAATCGGATGTTGTTTATGCATTTCCACAGTTTTTATCCAATTTCGATGAAATTTTTTTTGTTTGATAGATAATTCTTCAGTGCTGGTTTCGAGTCCAAATTGTTGATGACAATGGCTCTCCACTATTTCCTATCCATTATAACTCTCATCAACATTTTACTATTTACTATCTGTTCTTGCATATATATCTTTCATAAAAACTTTAATAAAAATAAATAGTTTAAATTATTACAATAATATTATTATTATACAGCTCCCTTTTCAGAGCCCCCCCCCATTCAAATTGTTGCCCCCCCCCATTTGGGGATGTGCCCCAGTTGCACCCAAATGTTGCTACTAATATTGGTTTTTAGGTGGGTTGACTTTAAACTTAAACTGCTCCAACTGAACGGCAAAAATTCCCAGTAATGAAACACCTGGTGGAAGACGGGTTATACTGCTAGTATACTATAAATTTATCTCCATAGTCACATCTACATAGATGCGCAGGTGGTGTAATAGACAGTTACTCAGAATAAAAAATCAGAGAGATGATTTCAAATTCCATTTGGTGTTGTTATATTCACTTAATTCTAATGCATAGTCAGTCAGTTAAGTGCCGAACATGATACACGTTTGGGCAATCATGTCTCTTTCAAATCATGACAGATTAGGCAGGAGATCTCCCTGCAGTAGGTTGCCATTTCTTTCTGTGGTAGACTGGTTGCCAACCAAGGCTATAGAACCCAATCTGTCCTGCTATTTAACCCATAGCTGGGTAGAGAAGAGATGGATTCATACTATTCTCAAGGGTATTTGCATGTAAGTGAATGTAACGGGCCTGACTGGAATTTGAACTCAGGTCTCTAATATCTCATTCTGAGCCACTACCCATTACACCACTTGCACATCCATGCAAAGTACTGTACCTTAATAGTTTTTTTTTTCTTTTCCATGATTATACCTTTGAAATCTAAAGAAACACAAGCCATCATCTTGCCAACAAATGCTACCTGCTTGAACTTCTTCGGGGGTGGAGAATCAGAATGTTTTTGCTTTGAATCTTTGATTCAGGTCTGGAGTTGTGAACCCAGGTTTCATTTTGAGTTACAAAATTCTCAGCATGGAAGCATATCAGAATTGTTCTGGAAATGTCAACCCTTTTCTGCTTCTGCTGTAAATGTTTGAAGGGGAGTCCTCAGTAAATGTTTGAAGGGGAGTATTCAGCAAGTGTTTGAAGGAGAGTCCTCAGTAAATGTTTGAAGGGGAGTACTCAGCAAGTGTTTGGAGGAGAGTCCTCAGTAAATGTTTGAAGGGGAGTCCTCAGTAAATGTTTGAAGGGGAGTATTCAGCAAGTGTTTGAAGGAGAGTCCTCAGTAAATGTTTGAAGGGGAGTACTCAGCAAGTGTTTGGATGAGAGTCCTCAGTAAATGTTTGAAGGGGAGTCCTCAGTAAATGTTTGAAGGGGAGCCCTCAGTAAATTTTTGAAGGGGAGTCCTCAGAAAGTGTTTGAAGGGGAGTTCTCAGCAAGTGTTTGTACCATGGATTTCCTTGGGTCTCATACCTTTCTTTTGCAGATACTTTATGACTGCTTCGGCCTATGTTTTGTCCATTTTAGATTTGTCACACACCTCTCACACTTGTGTGGGCCTCACCTGCACAGAAATTAAGACAGAAATCTGAACTAGTATTGTGTTGCCACAACAAAAATATTCAGCTATGGCTCTTCTTTCTGGGTGAGGCCAAGAACTTGGGAAAGATATGAATCTATTTCCTTACCCGAGCTATGGGTTAAATAGTAGGACCTGTATATGTAAAAGTTATTGTTATTCTCAAAAAAAGTTTTAATGCAATATTAATTTGGAAAAAATATAAAAGATGTTGCAATGGAATATCCCCCACTCCCTACTGCTTATGTGGACTGACTATATCAGTAGCTGTATACAGTGAGCACAGGATATATCTGGGGAGTTGCTTCGGCAACTAGTTGGAGGTTCGTTTCCAACTGTGCTGGTTGAATTCTCAGCCTTCGGGCAGAGAGGAACCCAGATGAGGCTGTGCTGAAGGGCAGAGTCTTGTCTGGGGTGGTAGACAGCTACCCAACCCCGTGCATACGGGGTCTATTGGGAATTTTTGCCTGAGTCCATGGGCCCAGTTTTAATCCCACATTAAAAACAGCCTTGTACCACATTCTGCCTTGTGGGGAGGTGAGGTAAATACCCTTGCTTCGGCAATTAGTTGGAGAGTCATCTCCAGCTGTGCTGGTTGAACTCTCTGCTTTTGGGCAGAGAGGAACCCAGATGATGCTATGCTGAAGGGCAGAGTCTTGTCTGGGGTAGTGACAGCTACCTGAGCCCATGTATACGGGGAGTTTTTGCCTGAGCCTACAAGCTCAGTTTTGTCCAACATTTAAAGCGGCCTTGTGCCACATCATGGGGTGGTAAGGTAAATATCCTTGCTTTGGGAATTATTAACCTGCCACATGATTCCCTGTCTTTCTTACAATCCAAAATATGTTTTAGCTTTAAATAATCCTGTAAGGGTTGATAAGTCATAAAAAATCTCTATGTAGCCCAATTCCATAATGATATTTACTCAAATAACATTATCATTATTATTGAATGAGAGAGCCACACTGGGGAATAAATAAAATGGTTGACCGCTCATATCTGAGCATGCCTGTCTAATAGGATAGCTTTCCGATCCTTGTTGCAGACGCCTACTCAGGCTTATGTCTTGTTCAACACTCACAGAGCCCACTTGTAGTTCATACTGCAACTATGCTGATCAGACTGTAGTTAGTTTCTGGTTGACATTGCATTATCTGGTGTGATGAACAGTTTGATCAAGGCAAGTATGCTCAAAACCTGCTGAAATATAATTTCATGATATCACAAGTGTTGATGGCTCCCAGATAGTTCTGCCTGCCCAATTTTCCCTTACATGGTCAGAAAGTGAGTATTCTAATCATTCGACTACATGTCAATAAAATAAAATATTGAATAAATATACAAATCCCAAATATACGCATCATGGCAAGAAATCGTGGAAGAGTATACCAGGCAACATGCATTGCAGTAAAATATATGCACAGGTTTTGATAAGAGCAGTGCATAACCTTGCAGGTGTGGCCCAGTTAGAAATACCTCCAAGTTAGGTAACCCAGTTTGCTCAGACAGTCTTTGTTCTCAAGTATAGGGATGTGACTTCCAATTTTACTTGGCTGAAATTCGAGACAAAAAATAATAATAATGGTAGAAAAAAATGATATTTAGTGTACATTATTAGGCCTTTATTATTATTATTATTATTCATTATTAGACCTTTATTGTTATTAGTAGTAGTATTGTACATTATTAAGCCTTCATTATTATTATACTTATTGTATATTATTAGGCCTTTATTAGTATTATTGTACATTATTAAGCCTTTATTATTACCATTAGTACTGTTGTACATTATTACATTTTTATTATTATTATTATTATTGTACATTATTAGGTCATTATTATTATTGTACATTATTAGGTTTTCATTATAATTATTATTGTTGTATATTATTAGCCCTTTATTATTATTGTATATTATTAGGCTTTTATTATAATTATTGTACATCATTCAGCCTATATAATTATTATTATTGTACATTATTAGGCCTTTATTATTAGTAGTATTATTGTACATTATTAGGCTTTTATCAATATTCTTATTGTACATTATTAGGCTTTTATTAATATCATTATATTGTTGTATATTATTAGGTCTTTATTATTATTTTTATTGTACATTATTATGCCTTTATTATTAGTAGTATTATTGTATATTATTAGGCCTTTATTAGTAGTAGTACATTATTAAGCCTTCATAGCAAATAGAAGCATCATTGTTTGTCATGTGTGGAACAAAAGAAATAAGATAAAGAAAAGCAATTGGAATGACAAGAAAACTAATTTTAAGTTTTATAATAAACA